TTCTGTGGGTCCTGCATGTCTAGTTTAAACAGCATACCATCAAGCAGTTCAGGAAAGAGCAGTTTCTTTCCCAAATGGCTAGTCTTATCACATTGAAGACAAATTCCATAATGAGTTTCTTCAATGTCCATCAACCTCTCTGAAGTAATTGGTGCTGCCAGAAGCAGACATGCCTCACTGTTGAGAAAAGTCTAAGTTCTTAAAACATTTTAAATGACATATTCTGTAGACCTTTGAAGTATTGAAGATTATTTATCTTACTGAAATATATTTCTGTATATCTAGAAAACATAACTAACATAATTAAAAGTTTGATGATTACAGATGACTATTAATCTGCATTTCTTAACTGTATATTACATTTTTAAATGAGCTGCATGAACATAATACCTTAACTAAAAGCAGAAATACATACACACAGTGTAACAAAATTGACTTTAAATTTGCATCAATAAACCAAGATCCATACCAATGCAAAGTACTCATCTTTATAGTATATCCCACTTTAAATGAAAACAAACATTTATAAACAATCATTTTTGGAATTTGGACATTGTTTTCTATGAACTACTTCCTGTCGTTTGTTGGGCAAAGGACTTTTAGGGTTCATGGAGACCTTTCAGGGGGTCTTGTACCATCAAATCACATTAACCTTGAATGAATTCACAGGCTCTCATATTCTGTAGAAACAAAAGCAGAACCCTTTTTCCAAAGTAACATTTCCTTAGACATAAATTTTGAAGTCAAGATACCTTTAAAATACATACATGGGCTTAGTTTAGCAGACCCCAGAATTACATGTTTTTCATCAATTAACTTATTAACCATCAAAAAATCCAAAGAAAATACAATAATAAACATAATGCAGACTCTCCATCATTATGCGGCTTGTTTTTTTTTTTCTTTCTAAATCTGTCTTTATTGTGTATCTGAAATCATTTTCTAGCCAGGAGAGATTTTTTTTAATGCTAAGTGGCATGACTAAGACTAATGCTGTGGCTTTGCCCATTGACCCCACCCTCCCCAACATGGCAGAGGTATGTTCACTGCTTCTGTGAGCCATGCTCACTATCCTAGATCCAAGGATGCAGATTTCTATGCCGCTATTAAGCAACTTGTAGCACTCTGTTCACAAACCCCATTTAAGTGCTCTGTGTAGCAGGACCTCCCTATAGAGCCAGGGCAATTCATGTGGCCACTATGAACCGGGAAGCTGTCTCTTAAAGAAACTGTGCCTCTGCTTGTGGCCAGCAAACAGAACCTATCTGAAAACTTGCAGCGACCAAGAAGCTCCAATTGACTGTCATTTTGTGGGTCTAGAAGGCCCCCTTTTTCTAAAGCTTTCTTAGGCTTTATGTAAATGTACATTGCAGAACGTTGGGTGTCATTATCTAAATGAAGACTGTGACTTCATTTCCTGACCACCCAGACCAAAATAATCACACAGAAACTATATTGATTATAACACTGTTTGGCCAACAGGTTATGCATATTCCTACTTAGCTCTTATATCTTAAATTAACCTATTTCAATTAATCTATGTATCTCATGAGTCTGTGGCTTACCAACCAAAATGTTCTTGCATCTTTCTTTTTTGGCAGTTACATGGTATCTGCCTGACTTTGCCTTCTTTCTCCCAGCATTCAGTAATTTTCCCACCTACCTCTGTTCTGCCCTTCCATAGGCTAAAATAACTTCTTTATTAACCAATGGTAATAAAACATATTGACAGCATACAGAGGAGAATCCTACATTAGTCTATAGTTAGGAAACCACCAAAGGGAACTTAAAAGCTTAACCTTGTGGCGAAGTATGGTGTTTAGTACTCTGTCAGAATTGGATTACTAGCTTATTCAAACTTTTTTTGATCAATGTTAAAACTATTATCAGTAACATAATAAAAGAGAAATCTGGTAACTTGCATTTGTACACTTTAAAACACTTTCTTATACACTGAATCATTCTTAGATCCTCATGTTTTAAGCTTTATATCTTAAAACACCTTGTATTTAAATGAAGGAATGATAAAAAGCTCTGCTGAAATCTGTTTTGTGAATTTGTCCCTTTTAAACTGGCAAACCTACCAGTCATTAAACTGCATCAGAGTTACTGAGAAGGATAAATTTTATCTGAGTTAATGTTTAAAAAATGACAGAGACTTACTTGATTGGTTACCTAGACAGCCTCCTTGGGGTCCTCTATGGTCGTTGAGGGCAGATCTTAGGGAAACATCTATCTTTTGGCTGGCAGTGCAGGACCTGCCAGGGTTCAGAAGATCCTGTGAATTAGAAAGATTCTGTGAGTTAGGAGTTTGTAGGAAGATCAGTCTTCCATTGGCCTAGGCAACTCGAGATGGTTGATTCCTCAGTGTGCTATTATTCACAGTCTGAAGAGGTCTTTGTGGCAGTATAGGTGAAAGATAGATTTTCTCAGTGGCTAGCATTTCCACTTGTGAAACAAATTATGGGTGGAAGTTCTCCTGTGCTTATCCATCTTCTGTGAATGAAATAGGGGTTGTTGTCAGGAGGCAACCTGTCTCTCTGTTATAAAAAAAACTTTTTAATTAAACATTTGAATGCCATATTCCCCAGATCTCTGAGCACTTGAGGGCTGTCTATTGGGTATATGTGTAAAAGGAACAGCAGGCCACTTCCTGCCACCCACCTGGCTACCTTTACCTGAAATAATTACATGGAAACTGTATTCTTTCAAACACTGCCTGGCCCGTTAGTTCTAGCATCTTCTTGGCTAACTCTCACATCTTAATTAACCCATTTCTAATAATCTGTATATCACCACAAGGTCGTGACTTACCGGGGGATTCTAAACCATGTTCATCTTGAGCAGGAGAAGCATGGCGTCTGCCTGCCTCTGCTTTCTTTCTCCCAGCATTCTGTTCTGTCTACTCTGCCTATCTAAGCTGCTGTCCTATCAAAGGCCAAGACAGTCTCTTTATTAACCAATGAAAATAACACATAGATAGATGACCCTCCTACATTATATATGTGAAAAGATAAATTTTGTCATTAGTTACTTGTCTTAAGAACACAGGTGGCTAGTTAACGCTTTATCCCTAGAGTTAATTGCATCAGTACCTTGAATGACTATAATCAAAGAGCTTGATCATGTATAAGATGACTCTCAACTTGTATTGCTCAACAGTCTACAATAGGTTGGCAGCTTCTATAAAAAATTAGGACTTTACATTCCTGTTAGGTTTAGTTCTACAAATAATGGTTTTGAATTGAAGCTCCTTTAGTGACAAATTAAAACTTTTTAATGAACTCAGAAAGAAATCAAGATGGACATTCCATGGGTATCAAACATACGTTGTTACTTATTTAAATTCTCTAGAAGCTTGGTGTTGAACCCTTGGCAAAGAAATAAATACTTAGCTTTTGTTAATCTGATATAGATCTTTATAACCTTAAATCTTTATCAGTATATAGAATATGTTTTAAAAAATAAAAAATTAAAAAAGAATATGGTTTAAAGCAGAATTGAATCACATTTACAGTATGTTGTAACAGATATAACCATATATTTATCATCATTTAAAAGTACATACCAATTTAAAGTATCTGAGACTTGTTTTTCAGTCTAGAAGGAGGTACAATGAACAGAGGTCATAAGACTTTTTAAAACTTTTTTTTTTTTTTTGGTTTTTCAAGACAGGGTTTCTCTGTAGCTTTGGAACCTGTCCTGGAACTAGATCTTATAGACCAGGCTGGCCTTGAACTCACAGAGATCCGCCTGCCTCTGCCTCCCAAGTGCTGGGACTAAAGGCGTGTGCATACATACATCCATACATTCATATAGTTGAGTTTAAGTTGTATACACACATAAACATAAATCCAGAGTTAAAGTTAGCTTACATTCACACATAAAGTTAAATCAAAAGTCCCGTGAATACTGAGTGAGAAGAATCTGACTCACACTTTGTAACAAGCAGACAAGCATTTAAAAAAAAAGAGAGAGTAGACAGACATGTGCAGTTCTTTGGAGCAAAGATAAAAGTGGAGAACCAAAGCCACCAGTGAAACTGAGAACTCCTCCCTGCCCAAGTCCACCACCTGGGGCTGAGAGGCACAGGGGCAGTTAGTCACATAGTTACCCTTAGTAAAGATGATGGTTAGGTCATCTGGCCTACCCTTAGCCAAGACGGCGCCTGCCCACATATTACAAAACACTGAGAAAGCATGTGTTTTTAGAGCAATTGTGCAAATTTTAAGCAGACTCAATAAGACATTCATAAACATGAATGTGGCCACACATTCACACGTATCTTTCATACATATAGATCATACAGGAAACATCCAGAGCCTAGGCTGTCTCAAACCTTCCTAGAGCCAGGCAGAAAAGAGGGACCCACCATCCTGGGCTGGATGGCATGGTGGCAGCGGCGGTGGCAGAGACAGGCCAAACAGAAGAGGGAGATATTTTGAACAGGAGAGCAAAACATAACGTTTCCAGGTGGAGGGAGGATCCCGCCCCAGACAAGCTTAGCGGTGGTTGGAGGCGGGGAGAAGCTGCTGTGGAGACAAGCAGAAGAGAGAGTTTTAGCATGCTGGGAACACGGGGCAGACAGGCAAGTGAAGAGAACGGGGGGGGGGGGGGGGGGAGGGCGGAGGCCACCCTTCCAACTACTGGATCACTGGCACGATGTCGGGTGCTGATAAGCAGCTATGTGGTTTAATTTGTGGAGGGGGATGCAATTTCCACGAGTGAGGTAGGGAAGATCCTAAGCCTGTAGTTCCAGGGACTAAGGGACAACAGGATATGACTGGCACAGGATGCCTTGGTGGTCTATCAAGCCCAAAGTCAGGGGCCAGGGTTCCGAGCCCAAGACGGAGGGTGCCCAGTACTGGGTCTTTTGTCTGGAAACTGGAATGTGAGAAACCACAGCTGACATGAATGCTCAGTCATGGAAACATGGAGAGAGGTGGAAGAGGGAAGGAGCCAACCGTTACTGCTGATTCTGCCGGTGTTGGGTGTAGAATTTCAGCAATCCCCAGTTGGAAAAGCGACCAGATTGAAAGTTACAGGGTTCTGGAGGTCCTCAAACAGCCATCAGACAGGAGGAGCTGTCAGGAGAGACTGACGCGTTTCACCGCATCAAATGTTGTAAATATGGCGTGACGTGGGACCTTTAGCGGGTCCCACGGCAGGTAAAAGACAAATATGCAATACAGACAGAGAGTGGGCATGATTATGAAAATTATGTCTTCATGTCAATTACCATTAGTCTTGTACATTTTGTTCTGTGGATAACTAAACATTTTTAACTTTAAGCTTAGAGAAACTGAAATTTCTGTTTTAGCGAACTTGTGTGAGACCTTAACTAAGAGGACTATAGATGTTAGAAAAGATGGCAAATTGAACACCTTCATAACCTTTCCCTAAATTCCTAAAAGTCATTTTTAAAAAAAACAGCAGGAATAGAAATTTTAGTAATTAAAAAGAATAATAAAAGTAAAGCCAGCAACAATGAGAAAGAATGGAAAGGAAAAAACATCAAGTAAACTCTAGCAGCTGGGGAGCAAATAAGCTCAAAGACTGCTTACCAGTCTGACAAGGTTCCATTAAGAGCTGTCAGCCATAGCTAAGAAGTCTTTATCAGTCCCCTCCTGAAAAGGCTGAGGAAGCATGATGGCAGAGGGGGCAGAAGTGACGTAAGAGCCAGAGGACCGGGAAGAGTGGTGTGAACAGTTGTCCTCCGCACTGGACAACACACAGGAACACACAGCACCAGTGTTACCTAAAAAAGACCCAGTCGGGATCAAACCAGTTAAAAATTCCACCATGGGTTCTGGAGAGACAGCTCAGTGGTTAAGAGCACACTGGCAGCTCTTTGAGAGGATCGGGGTTTGATTGGCAGCACCCACATGTGGGCTCACAACTGTCTGTAACTCCAGTTCTAGCAGATGTGAAACTCTCATTTTCTGGTACTGCCTACACATGGTACACACACAGACACACACACACATACAAACATACCTACTATGTATAGGTATTTATAGTATAATATCCAGAAAACACACACATGCAGGCTAAATATTCATACATTTTAAATTTTAAATTAAAATAAGTAAATGAAAAAAGATTTTAAAATTCCAACATGATGCAGAGAGGTTTGGAGGTAGGTAGGGGAATGAGGAAATGATGTAATTATAATCCCCCCCAAAACAAGCAATTAAAAGTAGCTTACAATCAGATGAAAGGCAATTCTATCTCATGGAATCGCTCTTACATACACACAATTTTGAAGTAATTTTGGGTTTGTATAGCAATTATCCTTTTATTGTCTTCTTCACCACAAGACCACTAGACCATGACATTAGCAATATGCTTCTTTATGTTTCTAGTGCCGAACAATTGCTTGCTTACACCTAGTAAGCTCCCCTGAATGTGTCTAATGCAAATAATTAGGCACAAATAATTAGGACAAATAATGGCTGTATATGCACAAAAGTATTAATAAAAAGAAGGGTGACTGCTGTCTCCTGCACATCCAGGGCACCCTGGAAAGTACAAACTGCTGACCCTTGGAGCAGATCTCTATTCTGAAGGCAGTATGTTTTTCTGATAGGGTTCCTCTTGCAAAAGACAAGCAGTCAATTATTTGCCATTTAATAAATGTTCACTTAACATCTTTTTTAAGTGGCATATGAAGGAATACTAAAATGGCCAATAGTGAAACAAAAAAGAATTCAGAAAGCGAGATAAAATGTAGGGAAGACCCAATCAGAGAACAGTATTAGTGTTACTAAAAAGGGATCAAGTTTTTTGGAATTTTATTGCAAAACATGAAGACTTAACAATGATTTCAGAATAGAAAACATTTTAAGGAATGAAAAAGAAAGAAATTAGCTGGTTAGTAAACTCAAAAGGAAAAAATATACCATGGCAGATAATACTGAGGATACTTAAAATACATTTAAGGGAAATTTAGTAGTCAGAAAAAAGAAGAGTATTTTTGCTTTTTAGAAAATGGCAAGAAATTCTTGAAGTAGATATCAGATGTCAGAAAGGCGTTTTCTCAAATGACAGAAAATAAAAAGGTGAACAAAGAGTGTAATAAACACAGAACTTGCAGTGTTTATTTTGTCCTGCTAATAGCAAATATGCCTTGTTAATTCTCTTATGGCAATCCTATTACATGTTCAGAGCTATTTCTGCAAGAGTCATCAGTATCTAGGCATCTTAAATCTGAGCTTAAACTGGTCCAGCTTCCAAGGAGTTCAGTGGACAGCGATTTTCACCCACGGGGCATTATCTAGGACACCAGGCACAGAGGTCCAAACTGTGAGTCTACAAGTAAAGTTGATAATTTTTTTTATTTGCCTTGGGGTAAAGAATTATGACTTCAGTGTTTAAATGCTATTGTGTTCTTTTCAAGTATTTTCAACTAACATCCATTATACTATGAAGATAATTAGGTACTGTATGTCTTTCCCTCTTAAAGTCCTTTATACTGTCATCTCTGCTAATCAAAATTCAGATTAAACACATAAAAATATAGTCGGATATTCTATATACTTAATATAAATTCTCAGATAGAGAATTAATTCTGAACTTTAAATTCTTCAGTTCTTCTTTGAGTACAAGAACTGAAGGGAAGAAATGATGCTACCTTTCTGTTTGTGTTTGAGACTTTGGCTCTCGGCCCCTAGAAAGCAGACTTTCACTCAATACTAAAGCATTTTCCCTCAATTCAAAAGCTTTTGGTCCTTTAAATAAAACACTCAGTAGTGTGTGTTAAGGCTTTTTAGTACTAGTATACATTTTGTGTTATTGTTTCTTTTTTAAACTTTAAAGTGGATATAAAAATATCTACTTCAAATGTCTAATACCTTGAAAAATAGAACTGATGGTTCCTTAAACCAATATTGAAAGCTTGATGAGATTTATTAAATTATGTGAAGTTTTCCTTTTGGTTGATTTCATTCTCCTTCTACTTTGTCTAGAATGAACATTGTCATTACTAACAAATTTTATTATCTGTGTGATGTAAATGAGTGTAGTATGGGTTTTCCCATTGCTTTAAAATAGTTATTTTATTAACTACAAAACAGTTTTTAACTACAGTGCTTACTTAAAATATATAGATGCATAAATATACATATACCCATTTAATATGATACTTGAAATCGCATTCATGTATAATTAACTCTGCAGATCATCTGATTCATCATGTCAGTTTTTGACAAAAGCTGGATTTTATATTAAATTATTATCAAAGTATCTGATGAATCATTCACAATATTCATAATAGAATTAAGCAATATATACTTGGAATAAATAAGTTTACTATGAATACATATAACTAAGAAAGATAGCTGCTCTGAATTTCTTGGATGACTATGACACCTCTGTCCAGAACAAGTAAGAGAATGTCCTTAGATTGTAAAAGCAAAGCTGATATCTTTTCATTAAGCACCACAAGAATTCAACTTTAATTCTGAAAGTTCATATTTTAAAGATTTCTTTTGCCATTAATACAGGCTGACAAATATAAAATTGCTATTTGCCATGTGTTCCCAGCATGCAAGTTGTATGTATAAAAGGCATCTTACTCCTTCCACCTGCTCAGGTTCATGTGCTGAAAAGCTAACACTATTTACAGAGTAGGGAAGAAGCTAAGAACGTGCTACATCTGCTGTGCCGCACCTTAGGTCAGCGTTTCCATCACGTCTCCAGCGGTCGTCACGCGCTGCTTCTAGATTCTGTGGGCAGTACACAGACTAGGGATGCACGTCATATGCAGAGAAGAGGACATTAAAAACTGATGAGTTTTCACCACTTGCTCAGTTCAGTGTTTTTATTCCTTATAGTGACTTATATTCCACTCACGCGGATTGTAATTATATTTAAAGATAACTCTCACAATGATAACCATGCCATGTAAAAGTTGATGCACCTCCAAGTTAATAACCAGGATAACTAATGGAAGCAACAGAAATCCCAAGTGTCTTTACTTTCTCAGCAAAGCCCTATTTCATTAGTGAACTGAAATGCAGAAAAGAGTGTAAATGACAGATATATGAGGCATTATAACACAAGCACAGAAAAGAAAATCAGTCACTCGACAGTTAGCAAAATCATAAGTAAGGAAGTCAAGTCATTAGAGAATAACTATGTCACATCCTCCAAAATCAATATCCCCATTTCCTCTTTGCAATTTCACGTACATTTTGTTATGTTCTTTTACTCAATTGAAGATGAATCTCCTTATTTTGTGTATTCTCAGATGACTTACAGCCAATATTCCTTATGAAATATGAATCAAGGTACTCTTACAAAGCACAAACTCAGTACCGAAATAGGAGCATATAAAATAGTTGAGGGATAAAATGTGTGATATGTATATGTATGCATCCATACATGAGCTTTCATGGAAGAGATAATTAGATATAAGCAGTACATATATGTGTTGACTCATATAATTTAGATTCATTTGACCATATAAATTATTAAATTTAAATCTTTAGGGTTCATTTTTGTTTATTCACTAATGATCAAATTAGTTTTTGTTCAATACTAAATATTAATTTTTTGCATTTAATCGTCATACACTTGAAGCAGATACAATTACTACTTTCAGTTTTGTGAATGAAAAGCTAAAACAAAAAGAATTTTAGTGATTTGTCTAAGAAAGAGCTGGACTTAAGTCCAAGTGCCCAAGCCTGCTCACTATGTATGCTGTCATTCAAAGCATTTAAATGTATGGCCCACAGGAAGTCAAGTTCCCCTTTTGAGGAAAAAATACATACAAGTAAACATGAGGGTCATTTTAAGAAATTCACAGATATGAGGCATAAAATTCCCTCTGTAATGACACCAACCTAAGCATCCACTCTTAGTTAGCCCTATCTCTTTCCTTAAGTCATAAATAGTGGGGTGGAATGGTAAAAAGAGGAAAATATGACTCTGGGGACTAATCCCCTCCATCTTTACCATTTGAAAGAAGAGTTCTCTACAGACACAGTTGATCTCATGCAATATGACATAGTGTTGTCAGGCCTATCTCACATGAAATTAACCGATAACTCCTTCTCCTAAGAAGAGATAGATACCAAGTGCTTTCTAAAGGAGCCCAGTATGACTTTGTGAAGTTGTCTGTGGCAGGGGTTAAATGTCTCAATGAACACATTATTCTTGGTGAGAACATTAGCCTGGCTTAGTTGATCAGATTAGCTCACAGTCACCTTGGAACAGCAGAGCAGACACATAGGAGATAAATGAATAAAGATGGAACAGGACAGAACGGGATGACCAGCAGGACACAGTGCAGACTCCTAGAAGACAGAGAACCCACACTTCTAACAACAGTCGAGGGGAAATGGGAAGTTATGGATTGTATCCACCTAGGACTTTTACTAGTTTCAGCCATCTTACAAAGATAATAGTTCCTTGAGGAATGGAGAGAGAAATCCATGGGTGAAGTGCTTGCTGAACAAGTATAAAAAGATGAGTTTGGAACCCTAGCACACACTTTATCAAAAAGCTAGCAGTGGTAGCGGGTGTCTACAATGCCAGCAGTGGGGAGGGAGAGCAGAGACAGGCCAAACCCATGGCTCACTAAGCACCTGAAGCAATTCGAGAAGACAGTGTGTTGTCAGCTTGTGCCTCCACACACGTACCTGCACAGGTGAGTGTACTCCCTCCGATGTGCGTACACACACTACACACATGAAGATAAATAAATAAACAAACAGATGAGCAGACAGAAGCAGTTCTTTTGTTCTACAGCAGTTAATTAATAAATTTTAAAGTTTTTATTAATTGAAAACTATAATAGGAGGTATAGTTTAGTGAATAAAAGGTTTGCCTGTATGCAGGCAGTCCTGTTCTCAACCCACACTCCAGCTGTAGTAGCCCTAGCTTGTAATCACAACACTCGAGGGAGGTAGAGACGGGTAATCCTCAGCTCCATGACAACTTCCAGGCCAACCAGGGATGCATAAGATCTTGTCTCAAAACAAACAAACAGTATCATAATATCATAATATTAAAAAGAAGCAAGGTCACAGATCTTTATACCTGGCAAAAATGAAAAACTCAGTAACTCTTTCAGACAGTGAATCTTAATGAAGTCAACAGTTGGCGGGATTTATTTTTTCTGTCTTGCCACATTTTTAAACTTTTTATTTGTGGCTTTCACATCAGGCATCCAGATCCCACTCAACTTCCTGTCCCTTCATATCTGTCCTCTGCCCTTGCAACCCTTTCCCATAAAATAAAATTTAAGAGAGAAGAAAAAAAGAGAAAAAAAGAAAAGAAAACTCTTATTGCCGAAGCTGTAGTGTGACACAGTGAGTCACACAGAATACTCTTTTGTCCACACATCTTCACTTGCGACTGTTCGTTGCAAAGAGTCACTGGTCTGATTCGATGCTTCTGGTTTCTGATTTAGTATCGATGCTGGGCCCTCACTGGGACTCCTCCTAGATATCCTGTTGCTCTGTATCATGGAGATCCTGCAGTTTTGGGTATGCAGGACTGGTCCTCTTCACATTCTCCAGCAGATCATAGATGGGGAAATGTTGGGGTGGGCTATGAGCCCTGGTTCATTATTCATAAGATCATTTCAAGCCCAATGCTGACTTTTTAATTACCAATACTTAAAATATGTTTTATTTTATACAACAGGAACATAAAACACTTATTTTTCTAAAACATTTTTATTCTTTTTTTGAGAATTTCATACATTACTATTGCATTTATATCATTTCAACCCTACTCTCTCCTCTCCAGTTTCTCCTTTGCCTCCTCATTTCTTTGCAGCATCATAACCTCTTCTCTAATTGTGATAGATAGATAGATAGATAGATAGATAGATAGATAGATAGATAGAT